AACTTCGATAGCTTAAGTTGTTGCAGTGGGGTTTTTGAATCAACACTTTAATGATTTATTAGGATAAATAATATTGCTTAAAGCTTTGAGATGTTGATGACATCTTCCAAACTTGAAACATTAATTGATAGCTCGAATTGATCCAAATTCAATGTTCCATCTCAAGCAAGAGAAATATGTAATATGTAAAAAAGAAAAAAACTTGTAGGCTTGTTCAATTAGTGTATACAATTTTAATATTTTATGTGAATAAGAAAATAATTAATAGCAATAATAAATAAAGTTACTTTACAAACTTAAGTCTGAATCAAAAATATAAACAAAGTTACAAACTTAAGTCTCAACACTATTAGCAAATATCTTTAATGCATATATTTCCTCAAGCCTTCACTAGTGTCATTCCTCAGGGTTTGGTCGTCTGTATTGATCAGCCACTCTATAGCAACAATTACCCAATCCTTACAAGTGTTCTTATCTTCTTATACTGGGGTTTCACTATTTAATTGCCAACTCATCTGCGTCCAAGGTCTTTTTTACAACGCATGTAGTCGAAGTACCTGGACTGATGGCATATAATGGGAAACAATGTGGTTAAGGGACACATATACTCTTTACTCAATCTGGTTGAAATTGCATCCAAATGACCATATGATGAGTCCCCTAGCATTATAACCCATTTCATCATATGCACTAGAACCTAGTGGCCATCAAAATGGCACGACACCAAAATCAAGTTTACCTCATGCCATGGCGTCCCCCACGGTGGACTCTGACCCCTCATATAATTAAATAGATGTTTAGGTAGAACCACCTTCGTCGGCTTGAATTTCTGATTAGAGCGTTGCGAGTCTATTTCACTACATGGCGAAAGCAAAATCAACTATCAATTAAGTTACGTTTAATAGTTAGATGCCATGAACTAAAACCCTTAACAAGTATTTTAATAATTAAAGCTCATTATAATATATTCATGTAGAAATATGAGTCAAGAATCCATATTTTCTACTTGTACAACAGGAAATGGTGGAGCCTTTGAAGAAAGTGTGTTTTGAGCATATTATAAGGCCTCAGGCAGAGTTGGGCTACGACTAAGATGTGGGGCCTTAATCAAAGTTGAGCTTTGAAGAGGACTTGTGTATAAGCTAGGAGGAGGTGAGCTTTGAGTCGAACCAATTGGCTCATTAATATTAGTTGGCTCATCAAGATTAACCCCGTGAGCATCGCCTTTTCATTACACGCACCATTCTATTGACCAATAGATAGACTTTTCACAGTGATAAAAATTAAACCCATTAAAACATCAAACAGATCCTAAATGCTATAAGTTAAGTAATGAAAAAAACCTAGAAGCTTATACCTCAAGATGGTCAAGCAGTCGACATATAATCTGGTCCTCCAACCCTTGCATCTCCCTTTGATCTCCATCTGCATTGACTACATTTGCATCTTTCACTAGATCTCCAGTTTCATTGATTGTATTTGTAACAACATCTCTTGCTGGATCTCCAACTACAGTGACTGAAGGTCCTTCTTTCATTGCGTCCTCATCTTTTTTTATCTCACGCTTCAAGGCTGTATGTGTTGTTCAATTTATTATCCACACAAGGATATGTATTGCAAAGATAATAGAATGATGAGTAGAGTGTCGATCCCACAAGGAATTGAATTAATCTTTACTTGCTAACTAATAAAAGTAACACACCTTAATCTTATTTAAACAATTAAATTTAAAATTATTAAAA